AGGCCCAATGAGCATTTAACAAATTGGGAGTTCCATTGTGCAGATTTTGAAGTAAGTTTGATTTGATAATATTATGAGGAAGAAAATCTTTGGGGTTTAAAATAAGCTCTGGCTGGTGTTGCTCAGTTGGTTGGAATGTGGTCCCATAGACCAAAAGGTTTTGGGTTTGATTCCTGGTCAGGACACACACCCAGGTTGCAGGTTCAATATCCAGTCAGGGTGCTTAGGAGAAGTTGAAATTGCTCTTTCTCTCACCACACTCCCTCTCTCTTCCTCTCTAAACGAAATGAAAATATATCCTTGGGGTGAAGATAAATAAATAAAGATTTATAAATGACAATAATATATGTTTATGAGACTCTCTAAGCTTATGATTTACGATGTCTCTAGTTTTGGAGGATATTAGTATAATGAGAATTTTAAAAAGGTACTTAGATGATATAAAACCTCCTCCCAATTCTCTGATTCTCAGGGGTCACTGTAAGAATGACATGACTTGCCCATGTTTGACATGGGCATAAATTCAAGTGTGTGGAGAATTACTATTAAATATGAACAAGTACATGTACTACCCACTATGAAGGAAAGGTGGAGAGAAAGGTTGGACAGCTCTTTCCAAAGTGACAGAAGTCACTTCATGTCCCTCAGTGCACACAGCATGCCATCTCAGGTGCCACTTGGTTTACACCTGTCACAGGTGGCCCAGAAAGGTCATTAGCGACGATGTCTTAGGCTCAAGGATAACTAGATTGACACTTTATTCAAGTTACATAAAATTCACAGTTATTTCAAGTTCCAGCAAATTTGTATTTGCTTCCATGTTGAACAAAGGTATGGCCTCACACTCCCTGGCAATTTGTTTATAATTGCCCTGACAATTTAACATTCCCTAGCGTTTCACAGAAATACATGACATAAGAATATGAATGCAAACATGTAAAAAAAAAGCCCTCAGGTGGTTGTTAATTTTGGGCACTGTGTAATTAAACTAGTTTTTTAAAAAATGTTATCTCTTGCCAGTATCTAATTAGCAAAGCCATCTGCTGGAAGCGTGGTGGCCCATCTGCCTAAGAATGTTGTTCTCTTCCTTTTTATGAAAAGTATCTGCCTTTGCTGGTCCCTGTCTAATTAACTTCTCTCACTGCAGAATATGATATACACAGCTTTGTTTATATACTTCTGAGAGCTGTGGACTTAAATGTATGTAACACATTCATAAAAAGAGCCAATCATTTTTCTTTCCCACCTCTGATTTACTCTTAAGACTTCAGCCTGTCATAACCTGAGTGTGGGTATGTGCATGCCAGTGGGGCTTGCTCTGTGTAACGAAACACAAGGAGCTTCCTTACACCCTCAAGGTTTCTGCAGGTAAAAAATGACTTTCAGCGAACCCACTCCATCTCCTTGTAGGTCTGTCTGTAACACTGTCACTTCCGGAAAGTTGATGAAGTAGTATGCTCCAGTCTATCCCTGGATCCGAGATGAACAGGGCTACTGTACAATGAACATGAGCACTGTTGCATTCTCATGATCTTGTCTAGACTGATGGGAGGCCAGCTTATTTTGTTATAAGCTAATGTCCAATGCGTACCAATGTTATCCATATGTCAGTTGTTCCTTCCATCGATCATTATCTAGCACAAAGCCTTGCACTTGCTAGCTACCCACTGAATATTTATTGCATGAAAGAGAATGAATGTGTGTGCATAAAGGGAAAGTTTTGTAAGTAGTTGAAGAGCACAGATGTTATTTGTATGTATTTACAAACCAAAAAAAATGCACCACAAACAGGAATCTTCCTGTTTTTAAAAAAATAGGTGTTTCAACTCTTTGCCTACTGAGTACAGCCAAATAATGGCAATATTACTGCTACATGTCTGCTGTTTAAAAGCATAATTAAGAATAAATGCAGAATGGAATAGGGAATTGATTCTTTTTCTCTACTGGGCTCTGGTGCAATGGAAAAAGATGGGAGATGGCAAAAATTAAAGATTAAAACAACCCAGAGCCCCAGGAAATTAGATCATTAGTGTTGCATTAGATCTGGAATGTAGAAGGAAGAATGCGTTCCTTTCTGTTTTGACTGTCATAAAGCCAGGCGTGGGTAGGTAGGAGAGATGATTTCAGAAACTGGTAGTGGGATTTGCTCCAAAATTATGATACATGAAAGGATAACCAAGAATCTCCAGTACAAATAGAGTGAGAAGGCTTGATTTAAAGTTTTAACTGATTAGAACCAATCTTGTGGAATAAAAAAAGTTATGACCAAAAAGTTATGACATAACCTAATTTTATACAAAATAAGGAGTAACTTTGAGAACTAAAATCTCCTACAGGAGACTTCCATTGACATTCATATTCCTCTCCACAGAAAATGGGGTTCTTAATATGCTTTTCCTCACAATAGTCAAATGGGTAAAGTGTGCCTCACTGAGGGAATAACAGACACCATGGGGTTAATCTGAAAGCCCCAATTTTAGGCCAATCTGGAAAGGACATGTTGTCCCACTACATTTTTTTTTTTCAAATTCTGTAACATCTCATAATATCTGCTCAGCCCTATAATAGGTTTTTCAATTCTGCTGTTAGTATAATTTCCCTTCATCCCATCCTTTATTCAGGTAGAAAGTGAGTCAGCAGAAAAAGCTATATAATCAGGGTCTTTAATTCTGGATTTGAATATTGTTGGAAAGCTGGTGACACTCTAATGAAAATACCCAGGAAAGTACATTTTGATACTTTTACAAACTGTCTTCAGAAGGATCTGTAAGATTTGCCCAGTTTTCTATTGGTCCCATAAACTTGTTTGAGCAGTTGCTCTTTCTTAGTCAACTGAATAAAGTAATGAAATACTTAAAAAAATATTTCACATTCTTTTTCCTATTCCCTTCCCCCCTTTCAATCACTGGCTGATATTTATCTGAAAAATGCAAAGGATAATTGGGAATTAGATGGACCTGGGGAGCTGTTCATTTGCCATTTCAGCAGAAGAATCTGAGCCATTTTATGCATTTAATAAATATTCGTCTTGTAACCCTGGGACTAACCTTGCTCCTTGTAGCTCTTGTGTTTACTGAAGAAAGTGTTACTATTCAACTTTCAAAAAAATCGCTAGACCACAGAGGGTCATTATAAAATACCTCTTCCTTTCAAACATTTCATTGTGTAGAAATTAATTTTTCTCTGTGATGTATAACACTAAATCCTCTTGGTGGTACAAAATTGCAGTTATAATAAGGTCTACTTTGCTATAAGAATATATCATAATGGATCAATTCTGTTTTGAGTTTAAGTAAGGGTAAAAGCATGGATATCTTTATTTAAATAAAAACGAGTGGGCTTTTATAGAGAGATCTAAGAAAGGAAACATGGACTGAGAATGGCAGCAATGCATTTATTTTATCTGTGCTTCATGGAGATAGACGGTTATGAAACTGTTTGTGAAGCTCTTATCTCTTCTCTGGAAGTGCCATCACTTTTCATGAAAATATTTGTCATCGTACCATGGAATTCGAGTCATTTGTTTGCATGAGATGCTGATTAACTGTGACTTTATTGTTGCCATTAAACCTTATGAACAGGAAAACATCACAGAAAGAATTAAATTCTCTCATCAGATGTTGACACTGACAAACATCTCCAAGCCTGTAGGAGGGAAAACAGTTGTAGTTTTGTTTCTGTTTGAAAGACACCCTAGTGTTCTCTCTAGAATGCTTTTCTTATAGACTCAGGTTTGCCAAGTTACATAAGTTATACACGATGCAGTGTTTCATGTTTTAATCTTTGTTATGTTGCATTCTTTGGAGGATAAGTAGAAATTATTAGATAATGCTGTTGGAATGACTTTGTTATTCTCCTAAGTTTTGGAGAGTTAGGAGAAAAATCTTTCTGGAAGTAAGAGTGAAGTCATTATGCTTCATAATATTAGACATTAGTTTATTTTTGGCTAACTTAGTTTATTATTTAACGTTAGCCCAAATTAACAAAAAAATTCCCTTGTTTAAATTTTTTTCTGACGATGATTTAGCCAGTTCTTCAGAAATCCTGAATTCTTCAGAAATTTACTCTAAAATAAGATAGGACATAACTGTAATAATGTGTACAGCTGGAGAACACATCTTTACCCCATAATAGTCCACATTCCATACAGTAATAGAAACGACAGACAACTTACATGGGTAGATTTGTTCAAACAATGATTCCCAGTCTCAGCATAGAGATCACTGATGTCTGCAGGCATCATTTCCTCCTGTGAAGTGAGCTCTGTCTGTTATGTTAACTAATCACAGGCTCCATTTGTGAGGTAGCCTCCCATGTGTAAGTACCCACATCCAATTGATCAGCATGGGTTAGGTTTGGAAAGTCCGGGAAAAAATGTTTAACAGTCAGGGCTCCAAATATTTAGTCAGAGCTAATAACAGGATGAACATTACTGGTGTTGGGGTTGGGGGAACAGTAGATGTGCTTCCTGCAAGAGCTACTTGTTTCATTGACTGTTCACCACTTAATATATGTATCTTGGCAGTCATAATAAGCAAGATCATTCTTGTTGCATTATCTATGAATATTGGTAGATGACATATTATTAAAATAAAGCGTAAATGTCTAAATGAGTATTTGGACCTTTCTGCAGCCAGGCTTCTCTGAATCACGCTCCAGGTTTATTCTGTGACATCACTGAAGTGATGGTTTCTGTAATTGTGCACCGGTCGCCACCTCATTAGACGTGCGTCTCTCACAGTGACCACACCTAACTATCGAGTGATTACTGCTTCAACGCAGTACTTAGCTGGGGAATCCCTTAAAATTCTTTCCTTCTAAAGCCCACTCTCAGCCCATGTGACTGAATTTTATGTACTGAGTTTAAATTCTATATTAGTTTGAAAATATTGGTGTATGGTGCACCCACATTTTCTAACCTGGTCACTGGTGTCTCATTTTTTTCCCTTTTTATTCAATCAGAACCATAATAATTGCTGTCATTTTGGTCTTTCCCACAGGCTGTGGAGTGGGAGTGTGATGAAGTGACCAAGAAGGCCTGTTACAGTAAGGGCAAATCGGAGGTAAGGAGGGCACGGCCGGGTGCTCGTCAGCTCTCTGAAGGATGAACTGTAAGGCATGTGGATGTGCAGGCTATTCCTGATGACGGTGCTATGTAAAAAAACAAAACAAGATTTTAAATAAATATCCAGTAAATTCTCGAGGTTTTTATCATTAAATTAGCTTCCAAAAGGGGATTTAGAACATAAGAGCAGATCTAATTGTACTCTCAGTCTTTAGACTAAGCTATGAAATTAATTAGTTATGATATCATTTGGAATAATATAGGCCTGAATTTTTAAAATAATATTTTAATCTTCTCTGATTGTGCCTCAGAGCTAACTCCAGAAAAGTAACTATATTATATCTAAAATAATGACATAAAAATGACTTGAGATTTTCTCATAATTTGTCTTAATACATTTTTAAAATCAGCACTCTTGCCACAAGAAAATCTGCACACACGCCTCCCCCTCCCAAGGTCCTAAGGAAAGAACAGACAATATCCTGGACATGCGTGTCCTGAGCAACTGTGTCCATGGCTGCAGAACTTTCACACAGTTGGCAGGCCTGAAAAGAGGCGTACGACAGTCAGAAACTCTTGTGGTCCCGAGAGAATGACACTGGGTCACCTAGAGGAAATTCTGCCACTGGCTCTGAGGCTCATTATGTCTCATTCTGAGAGATCATCTTACTTTGTTGGAGCGAGGGCTATCCAGCTTGAATCACACTTTGGGTAGCAGAAGAAAGTCGCTTCCCAAAGAGCAGCAAAGAGGGCTCTGTACCGAAGGTGGTCCATGGACAAAAGACAGGGCAAATGGAGGTCACTGGGAATGCGTCCTCACACCATCCGTATTTGTAAAAGACTGTCCTGCACTTAATTTTACCCACTTCACTTCCTGTCTCTCCCTTTAAACTCAACAGTTTTGAGGGTCAGACACATAAGTAAGTCTCAGAACACTAAGCCCTTGCATTTCCCAAAGCTGAATAAAGAACTAAGAAGAAGGAAGAGGAGGAAGAAGAAAATACAGTCTTAGTGAGGGAAGCACTCGGAGACAAAGAAAAAGAAAAGCTATTGATCAAAAGATCTCTAACCTCCGAAATTGCCTCTGAAATAAATCACGGGAGGAACAAAGACACAAGGAAATTAAAGGTAGCCCCAGGTTACGAAGAATCAGAACACTGTCTCCTAAAATACCCCTGCAAATAAATAAGTGCGTAATAAATTTATAACCTTCCTGACGTTGTCTGGATTTTGTATAAGCCTTTTGAAAAGATGCTTTCTTTCTCCACCCTATAATATTTACACATCTTAACATGGCAGATGGGTTGTTGTGCTTTTGCGCCTCACTCGCCAGAGCACAGGGATTCTTCAGATAAGACCACCGAGCTGAGGGATGTGGGGCTGGGGTGGAAAAAATCGCCTTGCTCTGTAGTAGCGAGATTCCCTGAGGGAAGAGCCTGGACCTTTCTTTCCATGGTTCTAAGGCCAGCATCCTCCCCTTTGCCTGATGACATGGGTGCCTTCCAGGTTCCCAGGGCACTGTCTGATGAACCTCATTCTTATTCAGCATTTATTTTGCATCTGGTCCTTTCTTAATGTGGCATTGGACACAGGACCCCTCTGATGAGAGCCCGAGCCCAGCTCCTGCGGCACAGAAGGGGAGGAAGCCCCAGTGAAAAGCCGCAGCTCGGCCAGGCACCACCTGCCCACTGGCTGAGCCCTGAACTCGGAGTTCCGACACCCCAAGTTTCGCTCTTCGGACCAAACCCAAAAACATTCTCGGGGTCAATTTGACTAACGTGTCACATCAGTCGGGGGAGGGCGGGGGAGTGAACATCAGATTTTTCTTTGCAGCCATGACTTGAGAAAGGAGAATTCAACTGTTTCACATCTTTCTTTGTGCGGTAGTATTGTGAGGATTGACAAAGAATAACAAAGTTTCCCTTCTCCCTAAAATAAAAAGAACAGTGCAAAATGTGACATCTCAAAAATGAGAACAATGCCAGCCATTTTGAGTGAAGTGGGCTTTCTTGGATGCCAAGAGAATTGGCCTGTGCTGTTCCACACAATGCGTTTTACAGCAGAGCCAGGGATGTGGAGAGAGAGTGAGGGGCGGGGTGAGGGGCGAGCTGCTGGCGCCCACTCGCCGCCCTGGTGAGAACCTGCCTCGGCCGCCTGCAGAGCTGGGGAGAGAAAAGATGACACATTTCCTCCCGTTTCCCTGGGAACGGATCGCTGGGACTGAACCAACGTCGTTGCCTACGTAGTCCATTCTGGTGACAAGTGAGAGAGTCAGGGGGAAGAAAAATGCCACCAGACCTTTGATTTGGGCCCCTTTAGAAAAGAAGTGAGGTGCTGAAACGGCTAATTCTTCCTGAGGGTTGAGCTCTATTTGATTTACACAATTTCCAGTGCACTTTGGAGAGAGGGGGGTGACTTTGTGGCAATGGCTTAAACATTCCGTGTAGTAAAGGGGGGAAAATGAGTGTTTGTGAATTCCAAAAACTTTTATAATAAAATCTGTTGTATTTAGTCCTGTTTGAATGCCATTATAGAATTCGGCTTTGAGAACTATTTAAATTTCTTTTACACAAATATTATTTTAAACATAAAGAGTTGATTCTCTGGTGATCTAACAAGCGCTCCTTGTCTGTGTGGGGTTACTGTGTCGGAGCCAGAGCCTCTCCCACCGTGACCTTTAGGAACCTGACAAAGGAAGCACAACTGCCTATTAAGGGGATGAAAGAGCTACTTTGTGTGTATGTTGCACTTTGTAATTTTCAAAAGTTTCTTGTTCCCGATTTCATCTCAGTACTTTTAACACCAAGTTCCTAGAATGATTTTGTGGTCAGTGGGAGAGTTTCGATGCGCATCCAGGGCTCTGTGTGTTGCCCCTCCTGTGTCCCGTGGTCCTGCTCCCAAGTCGTCAAACTGGGCAAGAAGAGAGTGAAACTTCACTTGAGCGAGAGAAGAAAACATGACACCACCCTGCCTCGGGGTCTGGTGGCCTCAGGGTTGAAACTTGAGGTCTTCACCTAAATTTCCTGTATTTGGAAAGCTATCACCTAATCAGTTCTGCCTTTATCCTACATAATTACTTCAAAACTGAGGATTCTTTAGGTTTGATTATATACACTAAATATTTTTTGCGGGGGCAACTTTGCCCAGAAAGTCCCCCCCAATCCGCCACGGATGAAAGTAAACACCACCAAGACATGACCTGGTTGGGGAGGAAAGGTGGCCAGTTTCTCAGAGGAGAAAGGCCAAGAGCCCCTTCCTCAAGGGGCTTTAATTGGGTTTGTTTTGCACAAGAATACAGGTAAGGATCAAACAATAGATAGCATTCAAAGAACTATGAAGGCTTATTCTCAGTCAGGGTCAGATAGCTAATGAGCCATAAAACTCTGAGGAACAAACTTCTTGCTTGGACCCTTATCATTTAAATGAGAGCATTCTAAACAGAACAGGCTTCACAGGATTTTTACATATTCTTTCTTAGGCCTGATCACCCAGGGAACCCGACCTTTTCAGCACAAGGCTGCACCGCCTTCCCCATCATAGGTTTTTAGGCTTAAGTGGATTAGAGCCAGGAAGTGCTTCTCCCAAACAGAAATGGGGACTCAGGCTATGTCAGAATAGCCGGGTGGGCGAGGGTCCATCACTCGCTCTTTGTTGCAGCCCCCCGAGTCCTTCCATGATGGCCTCCCAAGTGGTCATGTCTGGCTTAGGTTGCCCCTCTCTGTGTGAGGAGTCTTACCCATCATTGACTTCTGACTATGCTTTGGGAGCAGGGAGGAAGCTGAGGCAGCATTTGCTCCCAGAGACAAGGTTTGTCTCCTGTGGCTCACATTCTAGAGGTCACTGACTCATCTTTAGCCATGGGGGGTAGTCATAATTCCTGAAACCAGGCAGAGCAGTTCCCAACAATTTTTGTATATGGAGATTCTCAAACAAGTTTCCCGTGGAGTTATTGGTTGCATGATATAAATATACAAATTACATTTTGATTTATTAATTCACCATGCATTATATAACATAATGCAGTTTTAATATACATGTATGTACATAGCTATATCTCCATAGTATAAACATGTAAATAGAGATATAATAATATATCTATATGTAGGGGAGGGCAAAAGTAGGTTGATAGTTGTTCCCATGAAAAAAGGCGTGCAGGTTATGATTATTACAATAGCTTTTTAAATTACGTTTTTATTTATTAATGAGAGAAAAAGAGAGCAAGAGAGAAACATCAATTTGTTTTCCATTTATTCATGCATTCGTTGGTTGATCCTTATATGTGCCCTGACCAGGGATCAAACCCACAGCCTTGGTGTTATTAGGACAATGCCTAACCAACTGAGCTACCCGGCCAGGGCTACAGTAGCTGTGTTAACTCAAAACAACACCACAATGGCACACTGCACTTAGGTACAATCGGGTAAGTGCTCAAATAGCTGACCTTCATTAGTTATACATTCTTGTGGTCTGAAAATCAGTAAACACACCTGAATCCTAGTGATCTTCTTGGGTTAGCCCACTGCCTCCTGAGGAAGTTGAATTGAAACCTACTTTTGCCCATTATAATTAATATTATAAATGTATGCACATTTATAATATTATACACATGCACACATACTGATTGGATCCTATGGTTTTTCAAGATCCACCTGGTAATCATGACTTCAGTTGGTGTATATTGAACCGAAAAGGTACATGCAATTACCCTGAATTGCTCCTTGGATGCTCTCCTTGGGCGCTCACAAATGCATCCTTAAGAGGCAGACACACTGCTTTCTGTGGGAGCGCTGGGATTAACATAAAGGCTGTCAGGCTTCCAGCCCTCCTCTCTCCTCCTTCCTCCCTTCTCCCTAAAATCGATGGGTCTGGTGATGGCTGGGTATTGCTGAGGCATCTACCTTGTTTACAGTTAATCTTTCTACACAATTACAGTCTTTAGTCAAGCAGAACATAACTGTTTGGAAGGAAAATGATGAAATGCAATAAGGCAAAACCAGTTAATTCATTAAGAAAATGGTCCTAAAATATGTGTTTTGCCTTCTGGGGCCAGACCTTATATCCTTGAGACCAAGTGAATCTTGGCCAATCTCATCTAAAATTTTTCAGTGAGTCACTAACTGTGCATCTTGGCTATCAATTCAAATATGAATTGCTTCAAAGTCAAGGACAGGTTGACCAGCCTGCGAGAGCGCAGGCACACATGGGTCACTTTCATGTCCAAGTGGTATTATCAGAATGTAGATGGATGCGTCTCATTATCAACAACAGAAGCCACATGGTGGCAGGTTGGTAGTGGCCTTGGAAATGAGCACTGTGACTTCTTGGAAAACCAGAATTCACTAAATCCCCTTCATCCCTTTTGAAGATAGGATAAAGAAAAAAAATTCTTCGATGAGAAAAAAAATTCAGAGACATTTAGATAAGCTGATTTATAAGAGAAACCTCTAACAAATCTCTAAAAGGGGCTCCCATACTATGTCTGTATTTTAAAACAGGATTTCTCCGTGCATTCTCTCTATCAAGTTCAGCTGACCCATGCGAAGGCCACATTTGTAGAAAAGACTTACAAAAGGTGCCAGGAGATTTTTCTATACGAGAATTTGGGTCTTAGGGTCACCACCAGAATGAGACTAATTATTACAAAGTCTGGTACAAAGACTATTTTCTTTCATTCTTAAATTTATCTTAGCTTTTTGGCTGAGTACTTCCACTTTCTCCCATTTTCTATGTTCTTACATTTTGTTTTGTTTGAACTTGCCCCTATCTCTCTTGAAAATAAAAGCCCAAGAAGTTATCATTTTATATGTATTTCTTTACCTAGGATTCACACTGACTGCTTCTAGAATGAGTCAAGGCGGTTTGTCAGTTAAACCTAAGAGAACCTCTCAGTGAGTAAGAAGAGGAAAGGTCTGAGATGAGCTGCGTGGTGACACCTTTGAGCAAATGAGTTCAGCTTTTGACAGTTAAGAAGAAACAAAATACCACCTGCCTCCAAAGGCTTCTCTCACAGGGTGCCCTGTTCCATCCAACCTAATGTACTGGACTCACCCAGAACATTCCTAATGTTCCCTAGGTCCCATTTATCGTAAGCAAGTCTGGGTTCCATGGGTTGGGTCCTCCTCCATCCTTTTAGAAAAGGGTTGCACGAACCTCCATGTCAGATCGCCCAGGTTCCTGACATTGACCTCCTTCCCTCCTGTGCATTTGCTGAGCTGGGGGCAGCACAGGGGCACATGACCCTCGCAGGGAGCAGAGCTGCCCAGTGTATTCTCAAGTGGCCCTGATTGCTGGAGCATGCCTCTTGTTTTAAAAAAAAATACTCTGGTCTAATTAAAATAATAGTCTTTTTCTTCATGTACCTTTTTCCAAGATTTAAAATAAATTACCAGTTGGATTTGTCCTGCTTTCCTGGCACAGGTCTGCATCCTGGCTATTACATTCCCTAACACCTTTCCAGTCCTTCCTCAAGTTTGTGATGGGCCTTCAGGAATGTTAATGACCTAAAGTCCTATTTTCACTTTGTCTTCGGGGGAGATGAAGATAAGCAGCAGCTTTTTGTTATCTTGATTGTTTGCTTTCCCATAATCAATCACAGGCACTTGCTTTCCTCCTCACCAGAATTCAGCCTTGAGATCACACCTTTTCAAGCTGGACAGATTCTCTTGAAGTAACTTGCCCTTCACCTTGTGCATGGTTAACAGAGACTGCCTCTAGCCCACTTCTATCTTGTGTCCGTCTCTTGCTTCAAAATAAACAAGTAGTTCTGTACATCTTGATTCATTCTTGAAAGACTTCTAAAAGCAGCATCAGAAATCAAACAAAACCCCCACCTGCCTCCACTGTGTGGAATTCTCCATCTCATTCTTACTATAGTGTCATTTTTATGTCTTTTTTATCTGTTGATGTGCCAAACCCTGTTGGCCCTGTGTTCTGCAGAGGGTCCCTTTGGACTGTCCCTCAGACAAGCTCAGGCTTCCTGTTTTCCTCGCTTTGATCCTGTGTTTGCAAGCTCTGCGCCCTTCTGCCCCCTGAGGTGGCGGCCCCACCGTGCCCCTCCTGTGCTCTCTGTGTGCTCCCGGAGTCCAAGGAGCGATGGCCCTATGGTTCTCTGAAGTCTTGGTTTATTCTTTTTCTCTAGAACTCTCCTTCCCTCTCCCCAGTTATAAAAACAGAACAGAACAGAACATACCTCCCCATCTGGGGCACACTTGTCACCCAATTTACTGTTTGCTGTTTACACTCCTTAATTATTCTGATAGTTATCTTAGACCTTTCACCCTGTGGTTTTCTTTCCTCAGAGTGTCTTCAGATTGGCATCCACTGATAATATATGTTACTTTTATTGCTAGGATTAGTATTAAAAGACTTATCTGTCCTTGATATTTCATGTTACATTTGCAAAGCAAATCCAAATTGCTTAGCTCTTTTCCTCATCACAGCCAGGCCACCCAGCAGCCTGAACCATGGCAAATCAACATTTCATGGAGGCTGGGGTTCCCTTTGGTTGAAGGAGCACAGCCATGCCCTGAAGTCCAGATTCCCCTGACTTAGGACCATGTGTGGTTCAAGCCATCATGTCATCTTCTGGGTCCAGCTGGTTGGTCAGTGCCCACATCCTGTTGATTTGCTGGGCCCTGGCTTTGCCTTTTCACACTTCCCACCTGGTCCAGGTGCAGGATGAAGATGGACTGAATTAGGACATAACCATGTCCTTAGCTGTCTCTGAACTACTACTGTCTCCTTACCTCCAGGTTAGCTTCCCCATTGATTCCCCAGTTGTCCTATCATCACAATCATTGGATCAGGTTGGAACTTCATGCAGTAACAACACACAACGGGTCCCTTCACAATCAAAATAAAATGCAGACTCATCCTCTTGGCACACACCTGGCCTGTGTCTGGCTTCCCAGCCTGGGCTGCCTCCTCTGTACACAATGGAAGCACCAGGATTTCTCTAGCCAGGGTGCCTTGGCATAGTCCTTTCCCTTGCCTGGGCATCCTTTTCCTCTTTTGTTCAGTAAAGTTCTGCAAGTATCAGATAACACCTGTTCTTAGAAGCATTGGTAAAATCTACTCCTCCTTTGAAATTCGTGTGAGGTGTCACCTCCTCTGAGAAGCCTTCCTATATCTCTTCACTTCCCCTCCCCTCTGGAGTTAGTGATATGCTGTTCTTCTGTGGACAACTCTAAAGTAATTGCTCTGGGCCTGTATTTTAGTTTTTCTTTGAAGAGTCTAGATTGCAACCCTCAGCACAGTGCCTACCAAAGAGTATCTGATCAGTAGATGCTTGTGCAAAGTCCATGCACACCTATGACTGTGCCCCAGATTTTCTAGGAGTGCTTTGCAACTGCAAGAAATATTAGCGCTGGGTCATCCCTCAGCTTTGCTCCCATAAGTTTCAGCATGCTCTCTTTGTTACTTGTCCATCAAAGAGCCAAAACTGTTGAGTCTTGCTTTGTACGTAATGCCGTATGAGAACTTAATGTGAAGCCTATTCTAGTTCATAAAGTTTCACATGTGACCTTAGCATTTGGAGGAGCATTCACAGTGTTTTCTCAAAACCCTGAGGAAGTTTCCCGAGATGCTGTTTTATGAGGAGCACTGAATACGTACCTGTTATTTACTTTCCTAATAGTTGACAAAGGCAATTTTGGGTTTGGGTTGCTACCAAATGTAATTCAAAATGAAACCCTGTTCATGAAAAGAAGGCACATGCTTTGAGATTTTAATTGAACGTAGTATCCTGTGTTGAGTAAGCATGGAGATAGATTATTTAATAGTTTTGTTATATTTTGCTCAATTTCTGAGAAGGTTCCTTTTATTAGTGGTCAATTAACATTTAATTTATTAGCTAGACAGATTGTATTTAGAGTCAGCATTCTCTTTGGGCTGAGTGTTATATTAATATCTCTTGTGATTTTTTTTTTCAGGATGAGTGTCAGAACTACATCCGGGTGCTTTTGGTGGGTGGCGACCGGTTGTTTACCTGTGGGACCAATGCTTTCACACCTGTCTGCACCAACCGCACGGTATGGCTTCATGTTGAGAGTCGACAAAACTTAATACCAGGGAAATCTAAACCTTTGATGAAAAAAACACTAGTGTCTTTTTTTTAAAAAAGATTTTATTTATTTTTTATTTTTAGAGAGGGTAAGGGAGGGAGACAAAGAGGGTGAGAAACATCATTGTGTGGTTGCCTCTTGAGTACCCCCTACTGGAGCCCTGGCCTGCAACCCAGGTATGTTTGGCCCCGACTGGGAATCGAACCAGCAACCCTTTGGTTTGCAAGCCAGCACTCAATCCACTGAGCCACAGAAACCAGGGCCAAAACACTTATGTCTTTTTGTACTTCTGTTCTCCAATGAGTTACTCTTTAATTCAAAACACATCTTTCATAAAATCAAATCAATATTTGATGTATTTATTTATTCCTAATCCCAACTCTTAATTAAATAAAGAACAAGAAATAACCATAGCTTATACAATTAAATTTAAATAGAGTTCTAAACTATTTCTATCAGTTTTTCCCCACCAGTGAATCTAAACATTAATTGTAAACATATTTTTTTCTTAATTCTGCTTTACTCTGGACATACTTTTTTTTTTAATATTAAAGTAGCCTAAAATTACAATCCAAATGAACAAAGATATTACATACTGGATAAGAAGCATATCAAAACTTTAAAGCAAGGAAACAAACAACTGGAACTCCAGACAAAGCAGTTGTATCGTTACTAACAGGGATGTTCAGCATCCACATTGTACACCAGGGGAGAAGCTGGGGGGTCAGAGCACACACGCCATCTTCACAGTGCGGGGTTTTCTTTTGATCTTCCTCAGGGAACATGATGTTGAACTATCATCAGGTTAATCTCCTGGTTGCACAACTTCTCACAAAACTGGAATTAATTGTCCACTTTTAGTGCTCATTATTTTTGAACTAACGTTCAGTTACTGGAAATAAAGGGAGGATGATGGTGGCGAGAAGCGATGCTCGCAGAGACCCCCGGGCCATGCCCTGTTCCCAGAGCCCTCTGTCAGCTCAGTCACTTAATCCCCGCTTCTGCCCCATGCGGTAGTCATCCTTTGGATCCCCATTTTATAAAAGGAGAATAGAGACTTTGAGTGACTTAACAGGGCTACAAGTCCACCTGCAGAGCAGGCAGTGGCTCCCAGGGTCCCCCAGGCCCTCTGCTCTATTGCCTCTGTGGAAAGTGTGACGGAACAAATGCACACAGGATTGCCTCCCCACCAAAGAGCTTTTCTCATTCAGTGACTGGATTTGGCTCAGATGACAGCAGGATATGGAAGTGTCTCTCTAAAAGCTGAACGATTACGTTTTGTGAACTTGGGTTATGTGGTGCTATAAATATTCATACATCCTTACCTGTGAACACAGCTTTGGGCTACTCAAAATATGCTGAGTCACTTATATTGATAAAAGTGCACATGATTCTTTATTGTGGTTTATATTTCTATAAGCTTGAAATTTGGTGTCCTTCTTCAAGTGGAAAGGTCAGCCATGCCCCTTGCATTATGAATAGAAGGTGCTTGCATACAACAATCCTCAGACTGTGTGAGGATTCACTGGCATGAGGTTCTGGAGCTCTAATGGGATGATGAGAGGGACTGACCCTGTGGTCTCTTTAACCATGGCCACAGCACGCAGTTTGGTTAAGGGCAGAGCGTGAAAAGTTTGTTGTGGGTTATCATAAGCCCCAGAAAGCTTGTTGCCCCGTTTCGTTAGCAGTTCAAACATTAACACTGTTAAAGAGCTTGCCTGGGGGGTAATTGGTATCTCTCTCCTGTCCTCACCCACAGTTGAATAACCTGACCGAGATCCATGATCAGATCAGCGGCATGGCCCGCTGTCCCTACAGTCCCCAGCACAATTCCACGGCTCTGCTCACAGCCAGCGGGGAGCTGTACGCTGCTACAGCCATGGATTTCCCGGGACGCGACCCCGCCATTTACCGAAGTCTGGGTGTCTTACCGCCTCTCCGCACGGCCCAGTACAACTCCAAGTGGCTCAATGGTAGGTCTTACAGGGGGAAGACCTACCTTACAGGGGGAACTCCTTTTTCCCATCTCAGGTGTCTGTGATGCTGGTTACATGGTGTTTAAAACTAAAGTGCCACAGTTTCTAAAGAACAGTAAATTCATTTTCTAAGGAAATAAAAATGTAATGTGTTTAGTACTTCTGTGTGAAAGGTCATCATATGGCTCTTTGGTGATAAAAAGAACAGTGATATTCTTAACACTGTGGATCAGGAGAAGAGGACTCCTTTGATAATCATTGAACTTGTGTTGTTTTTTAGTATTATTGTTTGTAACTTATAAAACTTGACATGTTCAAGATATCTGCAGACTCATGCATTTTCTCTTAACGTCTTTATTCTGCTGGGTCTGGCACAAATAATGCCCCTTTTTATTACAAAATCATAACCCTGTAATTCTGTAATATAACAGTATCACACTGAGGTGCAGTGCATCACGTAACATTTTGGGTGTAATGTTCAAAGTGCTGTCCACCTTGTGCGAGACATTCACGTACCCTACCAACTGCACTCAAGCAGGCCTTACTTTTGCAGGACCCTGTATAGCTAAGAAGGGAAATTATTAGCATTTTATGAAATGTTCAAATACTGTGTAAAATGTGTGTAGCTACTGGTAGCTCCAAATAGCTGGAAGGTTGAGTAAGACCTCTTTGCAGTTGCTTGTATCAGAGGCTCAAATGTTAATAAGGGCCTCAGTCGTGTTACTGGTCTTGCCGCCACGCACAGCCTATCCAGTCAGGTTGGTCCTCAGGCTGGCTGTGCTCGTGGATGCTAATTCACTGCTGCAACTTCTGGTCCTACATCCAGATGTGACATTATCTAGTGGAAGAAGAACCCACATTTCTTGTATTCCTTTTTTTTAAATCAGAAAGCCCCAGAAGACTTCCTTTCAGTCTTGGGCTAGAACGTGGTCACCTGCTCACCACTGAGATTGGCTCTGTACCAAGTCCTGAGATGTGGCAGCTGAAGTTCAGCACTTTGTATGGGTTCATGTGTGAATGTGGACACACACATACTCCCCAACATAATGATGTGGATAGATATGTGAACCATATGTAATCCCTTCTCTCATTTATTTCAGAGTTGACACTAAGATAAAATCTTTAAATTGACACCATAATATTTACTACCTTAAGCTTTCAAGTTCTGCAAAGATTTACTGGCCTTTTGCCAAGTACAAGCTAATTATATAGAGCAGAGTTTCTCAACCTCAGCACTGTTGGCATTTGGGGCCATGTAATTCTTTTGGGTGGGGGAGGAGTTGTCCTGAATATCATAGGATGGTTAGCAGCGCCCCTGAACTATACTCACCAGATGCAATACCCCTCCTCCACTCCCAGTTGTGATAACAAAAATTTCCCAAAATTGCCTTCGAATGAGAATCACTGGTTTAGACTTATTGCTTATGAATATGTGTATGTGTATGTATAAATAAAACACAAGTATTCGGTCAAATAACATAGTCAAACCAACTATCAGTTTACCTTTTGAAGACTCCCTTGCAAAAAATGTTTTCATCGAATTTCTCCAGGACGTTGAATGACTCTGTGCTTTCAAGGGTGACATGGATTGATTTTCCAAACCAAAGAGTAACTCTTCATAGATTCTCTCTGTTAACATTATTTCTGTTGAACTGGCTGCAGCTGAACGCACTGACTTTCAGTGGAAGGTCTCCTTTCATCCCTGAAGTCTTTCATCTGTGTACCTCAAAGTTCTTCATATTTGTTTGTTGATTTTTACTAGCCAAGCAGATTCCAGTTAAAAATCAAAATTGCCCCACCCAAAGGCATTGCAATTAGAGTTTGCCAAAAGCAAAGTAAAAAGTAATTAGGAGCGCAGTTTCTTTTCACTAAAGTGATACCCTTAAGTAAATATCCTGGAAAAATAATTCAGGTCATAGCATAAGTTATAAATGCCAGCTCTTTGTTTACATGTGGTTCCAATACCCATGGGCTGACCAGATGGTCAGATTCTGCTCATGCTCCAGGTGGAAGAATCCTTTCCATTGAGAGTCAGGTGACAGAACAAGGGCGGGAGAGCACTAACCCAGTGCTCACCCAGTCATTGCAGGCCTGCCATCATCATTTGTTGAACACCGCAAGTTTTAGATTCTCAGCTCATTATGACATCATAGCTCCTGTGGACGAAATGGCCCTGCTTTCCTCAGGTAGCAGCAGCCCCCTCCTTCCCCTGGCCACACCAGGGAGGCCCTGACTCCTGGGGCAGAGAGCAGAGAGCCTGACTCAGGGTTCCCAGGTCTAGCGTGCTCACTGTTTATTCTGTCTCCTGGTTTTTGTTGGGCAGTTCCTTCTTGGATGGAACCCTGAGATGTCAATTCTACTCCTGGTTTTCTGGCCCTGGTTTTCTGCTCTGATTGATCCTCTCTCCAGGACAGATTCCAACCTCTGTCCCTCACTTACTTCTGCTCTGTCCCCTGCTGAGACTGGGTACAGAGTCATCTATTGTCACTGACCTAATTGGAATCCACATGTTGTACCCCACCTGCTCTTTGACCAGATGCCCTGTCTAAGTTCTTTCTGCTGTGTTCCGGAGTAGTTCTCTTTCAATAGATTGTTCCTCTATCCATTTTCCCTTCTCCTTTGCCATCACCATGCATTTCTTCCTCACTAATGATGATCACTCTCTTTTGATAAAAATGCTCAGATTTCTTCTTTCTTAAATGAGGTAAGAACAAAGAAAGAAACCTGAACAAGCTCTGCCATGCCCAGGAAGTTTCCTATTTTCCAACTGATTGTAGAGACCTATTAAATGATGCTTTTATATTCTTCTTCCGAGTTTTCAACTGATTGAGAATCCAGACCCAGCAGCCAGTGAATGGAGCTCAGGCAGCTGGATTCGTTCTGAATACAGCTTAGTGGGGAACAGGAAGCAGGCTTCACGCAGTGTGCTAGTGAGGGGTCCTTGTTTGTTCCTCTGCTCCTTCCTGTGTTTATGTCTTCTCAGTTCTTTTCTGAAATTCTGCTCTAGGCCCTCTCCAACCTACTCTCCACTCCTTTTCCGGGGTGACCCTTCAACACTGTACTCCAGATCATGCCAGTCCCAGCCCTAACCCCCCTTTAATGCCTCCCATATTCTGGGAAAATGAACTGTTTTCTCCCTTCACTGGTCCTCGCTGACCCTGTGCATTTGCTCTGGGACCTCCCCTCCCCTGTGCCCTGCCTCACTTTACCCCCTCATTTGCATTTCTTCTCTTCACTGTTGTGCATCCCCACCCCGATGGTTAGGGACTATGTTCAGTCTGGGTTTAATGAGTGGCATCAGCTCACATGTAAAGGGTGGAGGCTTTGGCACCAGAAGCACCTGAGGGTGACTGAACACTCAGCCTTGGGGATACGGATTGAGTCCCAATTCTGTTTCCTTATCTGCAAAGTGGAGATAACTACCCACCTGACCTGGTTGTTGTGAGCATAAAATGAGAAGAAAGAAGAGATAGATGATGAATATTCATGTCTTGCACACAGCAAGTACTCAGTGCATGAAGGTCATTACTGTGCACTCCCCACAGAGTGATGGGATGTCTGATGTGTGAGGCAGGGTCTGTTGACTGGGCGAATGGGTGAACAGTTTGGGCTGTGTTCCTGAGTGACCGGCTCCTGTCAGCCTCCTCTTTCCTCACTCCCTGCCCTCCTGCTGTGCTGCCTGCTGTCCCTCTGAGGCCAGCCTCTCCTGACCCTCCGTCTGGCTACTGCCACACCCAGCTCCCCCAGGCACATTCAGGACCTGCCCACGGCTGCCCAAGCCATGATCCCTCCACACAAGCAGGAGTCAGGCTATTGGGAGACTCGCTCAGCTAACAGCTGCTGACAAAGTATGATAAATAAAACCCATATCTTTGTTTTGGACATTTTCTAAATTTTTCCAACATTTCTGTGTTCAGAAAAGAGAATTGTCTCAGCAGGAGTGGTCTAGAGGCTGGCACCTACTCACCGCGGCCAGCAACATTCTTGTGTTTAGATTCACTACTTGGAATTCAGTTGATGTAGGACAACTTGCTTATACAAAGAGGTGGCCCCTTCCGATAGTTCCGTTACCCAATTTACACATAAGGCAAACCCATGAAGTACCGGAACGGCAGTTGCTCACATTCGTTGCGTGCCCATAGCGGCACAGGCTAGGCATCCTCCTGTCCCGCTTCCAGCAGCCAACCTCCACACCACTGCACTACATCCAGCCACACACTTTCAGTGGCGTTTTGGATGGCGCCTGTGTTTGTTTCCTGGGGTTCTCAGAACTGAGCATCACAAACTAAGTGACTTAAAATAACAGAAGTTTGTTATCTCACAGTCCTGGAAACTAGAAGTCCACAACCAAGGAGTCCAGAGCCATGCATCTGAGAAGGCTCTAGGGCAGGGTACTGCCTGCCTCGTCCTGCTCTGGTGGCCCCAGGGCTTCCTCGGTCTGTGGCTGCTCCACTCCAGTCTCTGTCCCGGTCTCCCCAGGGCCTCCTCTCTGGGTGTCTGTGACCCCCCAGACCATCTTCATACGGGAACTATGCTATTGGATTCGGGGCCCACCTTCCTCCAGCGTAATCCAGTATTTGTGAATTATGTTTGTGATCACTCTGTTTCCACATTTATAGGTACTGGAGGTTTAGACTTCAACATACATTGTTTGGTGGGGGTACAGTTCAATCCATAACAGCGTCCTCATCGTGAAGCGCTCAGTGGTTGAAATCTTAAACTACAGCCTCTTATTTTCTGGTGACAATCTTAATCTTCATTTCTGTGCTGTGGGAAAATCCTCTGCCCTCCTTCAGCCCCTGGTCTCAGCCGGCTCCTCTCCACTCTGGGGAGACAGTGTTGTTTCTTGTCTCCAATGAGGTCAGGACTGCATCACTGTCTGTCACCTTAGTCCAAGACAGACTGGTTGCACCTGTTGTTCCTCTGTTCTCCAGAGCGCTAGGATGGACAACACGTTTACTCAGACCGCTGCCCTCTGCACCCTGTGTCCCTCTCCA